GGAGGGCGCGCCCAGGCCACGTGTGTGCGCGGTCGGCCGCGGCCCCGCCCGCCTCCGCGCCCTCCGGCAGAGCTGGGCCGAAGGGCAGCGCCAGCCAAGGGGCGAGCTTGCTCGGCTTTCACCTTTCTCCACAACAAGTGCTGCGAAACGGAGCGTAGCGTAAACAAGTTTCTCCGCGTTCGCGTTAAGACGCTCTGATCAGAAATACCTATAAAACAAAACGAGTTGGGTCCAGTCAAATCCTCTCAAAAGAAGTACTGCAGACCCCCAGCTTGTCCTCTGTCCGTTTTTATAGTGGGGGACCTACAGCCTTAGAATTAATATCCTAAGCTTTGCGTTTCTCATGTGGTCAATGCCACCCTAGTGCTGGTCATCACAGTGTTTATTCCCTGCTGCCCCAGCATACGATGTGAAAGGAAGCATCTTCAAAGCATTAGTCCACACAGGTTTTTGCCAGTTGGACTAAATATTTCCCTAGTGCTACTCAGAGCTAGATATAGAGCCCATACCTTCTAGATATTTTAGGCAGGGCAAGTATAGAGATAAGTGAAATGTGTTCATTCTTATTTCTTTCTTAATGCTGTATTATTCTTTAGCCGTCTTCTGTTCATGGTGTATGTGACATAGCCCTATCAGTCCTGAATAAATATGGTGTTTTCCCTCTGCTTCTATATTCAGCAGGTGTAAAAGGAGAAAATAATTTCATAGTCTCTATCTCCTTTGTGGAAAAAGCTTAAAAATATTTGGTAACTCACAGTTTAATGTTAAAAGTAATCTAAGTGTTACAAGCCTGCTTGGAGAGTTTGGGATGCCTCTTTGAGTCCGTCCTTCAATCTGTAATGATTATAAGTTATTCTTTTAATTAGAATAATAAGGTGTATTTTTGTAGTTTTATGCTCAATAACTTTGCTGTTGTCAACTTATGTTTGATGTTTCCACCAAGACATAAACATTTAAAAAAAAAAAAAGGGGGGGGGGGGGGAGAACTGTCTTGGAGGAGAAACTTGCTTGGCAGCACTGGGACCCAAGATCTATGTGGCCATGGGAACTAAAATATATTCTTACTTTTGAAGAAGAAGCTCTTTCTGGTGTGGGTTGAGAGGGAGAGGCAGAGCATCCTGGGCCTATTTTGGTTTGTGGCTGCCCATTCTACAGGCTCTGGTTAAACAGCAGGGGGCTTCAGTCTCTAAGACTGTCAATTTAGTTCCTTTGCTAGCACTAACATATGCAGATAAAGAACCAAAAGGGAAGAACAGAATTTTTAAGCCCTACCGTAGTACTTGGACAAAGTTTTTAAATCTCTATAGTAAGATACTATATGTATTTAAGATATTTTATGCATTTTTCATACTTTTAATATGCATATAGACCTCTGCAAAATACATGCAAGTATTCAGACTTTAAATTTAGAAAAGGATTTAGAAACCTTAACATTTAGAACAACCAGCATACCTTATTCTGTCAGATTTCCCCTCTGTAGGGGAATAGCTAATGTAGTTCTAGTTTGGTATACTGACACATATTAATTGGTATGGGTGCTTATTCCAGGTATCTGCATATTATTAAATGTATCCAGCAACAACTACTGGGTTGGTATAATACATCATAATGTGCCCATCAGCCTTTAGAGTCTCCCGACCAAAAACATCTTTCTCTTCCTCTCTTTTTCCAGCTTAGACAGACCATGACAAAGTTCTGTCAGGAGCATTTGGCTCCAAAGGCCCAACAAATTGACCAGGAGAATGAATTCAAAGGCATGCGGGTAAGTATTTCCTGTGTGCATTTGAAATAGATGGTAGTCAAAGCCTGTCTGTGCTTTGAGCTGCGCCTTAGTTCAGAGAAGGAATCCCAGCCCACACCGTGGGAACTTATTCATCAACTTTTCAAACTTGAAAGCCATAAAGAAAATGTTAATGGAAAAAAAAAAAACAAGGAATCAAAAAGTTATTACCATTCAGCAACCTAGGAAAGAAACTAGCCAGCATCCAGGAAAAAAATGGAGGAGGAGTGATAGTGGTCGGGCCTCTGACTTCCTTGTTTAGATTTCCATTGTGATATTTCTGCCTGATTCTGTTCAAAGACTCCTTTCCTAATATATACCTTGCATTCTCCTGGCCACTGCAAAGGGTATGGGAGTTCTTTTGTGTACAACCCTTTCTCAGACAGCTGAGAGTTTCCTGTCAAAATTGTTGTGAAAATATTGTGTACAAATGCTGAAATGTAGAGTTTTTTCACTGTGAGGCTGAAATTATCCTTTCTAACAAAAAATGTCAAATTCTCTGAAGCAGGACAGTTTCATTAAAAAATGAAAGCTCTTACTATTGGGTTCTTGTAAGCTCCACAAGACTTAAAGCTCAGAACAACTGCTAGGATTTTCCAGAGCTCCATTGTTAACGTTTTGAGGGAGACACAACAGCTTCAAAGTTAAGTATATAAATTTAGTCCAATGCGCCAGATGTCATCCAGAGCTATTGAGTAATACTTTTTGAAGTCTCTGAAGACTATCCACAGATAACTTTCTTATTGCTGGGCCCTGAGGCCATGTGACCAGCATTTACCTGCCTGTCCGTCGTCTAGCAGAGAAGCTGCAGTCTGAGGCAGCAGCAAGGAAACGTCCCCTGTAGCAGATGCACCCCTAACTAGTGGTATCCTTTGCTGCTGTGTCGTGCTGTGGCTTCCCTCTTGCTCTGTGACACCGTGTGCCAGACACAGCTCACTGTGCATTGCAGATCAGCCTGCAGCTCCATGCCTCGGGCTGGTGGCTCCAGAGCAGCAGTCACTGGGTGGTGGTGTTGCCAGAGTGATAAATCTGGGTAGTGGGCAAGTCGAGCAGTCAGCCGTCAAGAACAGCCTGTCCTCTAGCAGATGAGCTTAGTAGGATATGTGTCCAGCTATGCAATACTACACAATGTTAGGAAGTCCTCATGTGACTCCGGTGTCCTGGTAGTCTCAGGAACTTATAGGTTATGTACCTGAGTGACCTTTGTGTATTCATCTCCTTTAGCTTCATGAGTCCAAAGTGTTCACAAGTCCTTTGTTGCAGTCGCCTTTTATAGTTTTTACAGTACCATGTGAGGCAGGCAATAGCACTGCTTGCCTTAGCAATTGCTTTTCCTGACCCAGCTGTAACGTTCCTTCCTTTAGCTCTCCAAGGACGCTGCTTCAGCTTTAGTTGTATCCTTCTATTTTACTGGAAGAGTTGTAAATCACCCAGTGATAGCAACTCTTCTCAGTATTTTCAGGGGTTCGGTCATGGACAACTTATGCTAACTGCTATTCCTGGCAACCTTGGGCTAATAGGTCTACACAGTGCTGCCAAAGCTTGATGTGCAGGCCCTGTGACAAGGATGTGGGAGGTAAATGCCAGCCTAAATGACTTAGGTCACAAGATCCTAATTCATCTTGAGCAAGGGATGGTATGTGAAAGTGCAGTCTTTGAAGTTAATGGGCGACTTTAACTCATCAAAATTCTCTTTAAACTGAGCAATGAATTAAACCTTTAGGACCCGTCCCTGCAGAATGAAATGCAGCGTTGTAAATTATCTCACTGAAGTCAACAGACTGCTTAACGTGTAGTGAACTAGTGTTCTTAAGTCTTGTGAGATGTGAGTCCAAAGGATGGAGTCTCTGCTGCAAGAGGAATGGGTATCCGTGTGCTTATCTCTGAGGTCTCCTGTGAATAAGGCAAATAGCTGTTTCCGGTGAGCTACCTCGAAGGCCCTACTGCCCTGTCTGTGACTCTGGACTGACTGCTTGTTCTGTGTTTGTAGGAATTTTGGAAGAAACTTGGGGAACTGGGAGTTTTGGGGATCACAGCTCCTGGTAAGTCTGTTCCTACCTTTTACCAACTGTTAGGTGATTCTTCAAACAAAAGGAAGAATGCTTAAGCTTACCCCTTTCGGTTCAAAATAAACTTGTACAAGATATAACTTTTTTTTGTCCAAAAGCTCCTGTTTCCACATTATTTTTAAACATTCAGTATAGAATAACACAAACATCCAAAGAATCAGAATCCTTTTTCTCTTGTTAGGCTTTTGGATGATTATAAAATGACTTTTACAACTTAAATACTGTTCGGAAATGGCTTCTCCAAACCTAAAGCACCTAACTCAAATACATATGTGCTTCCTCAATATGAAGCATTTACTGTAGATTTTAGAGAGCTGTAAATAAAAGTATCCTGGAAGAAACATTCCCCTCTAACAAGAGGAGTTACAGAGCATAAAACAGTGCTGTGGAAAGCTGTGATAGCTAATGGAGGGCTGACTGTATCCAACCAGTCAGAGAAAATCAGAGTAAACTTTGCTCAGCCTTGTCCGGATTAGTTAAAGTGTTTTGATTGATGTTGTATATTACTGAGACTGCTCTGGTCATGCTGAATGCAGTAATAGAGTATAATAAAGAGAAACCCTTAGCGGAGAAAAGCAGCCATTGGGGCCTTTATTTCTCCCATCGTACAGTCTGTGTTTCTAGATGTGCATGTGCAAAGGCTTCTGCAGAAGCAAATTGAATAGCAATGCATTGAAATAATGCATCTGCATTTCTTTCAGTGGCACTGAGGATGTTTGAAAGAGTCCATAGTTCTGCTTTCTTTCTCTTTACTCTTCCCAATTTACTGCTTGCTCCTGTTTTTTCTCACTCTTACCTTCTTCTTTGATGTTGTGCCTGAGGCTTACAGCAGTTTCCCACATTATAAATAAGCCACCTCTTCGTGAGTCCTGTCCACTTTGATTTCCTCAAAGATGTACCTCTAAAACCTTTCCATACTCAAACTTTTTTTGCCTTATGATTTTTCATTGTATAATTACATGCAGTTTCTTTGTTGGCATCGCATTTGTCGTAGGCAGTGAAGACTGGAGTTGAGGATGTGAAGATAATGTGAAACCTTATGGGGGTACATGGTTGATTAGATGGGCACCAGTGAATCAACTCTGTTAAGGAGTGTTTGAAATGACAGCGCTTTTTGTTTCATTTTTAAAAGTAAGGACTCTGTTTTGCTTTGTAATTTTGCATTTATTTTATAAAGAGCTAAGTTTAAGAAATGCAAATATATAGCTGCTATGGAATGATAATACAGGCATGTCATGTATAAAGAGTCATTTTGAAAGCGCACCATCACTAGATCACGCTGTAGTTTGTATTACATAAGTTGTCTGGCAGGATTATTTTCTTGTAGCTTTTGTGGTGCAGAGCATTCATAGGCCTGTACTGCTTAAAGTAGGCAGTTAACTTTCCTTTTTCGAGGCAGTAGCATCCAACCTAGTCAGTAGTATAGGAGCAAAAAACTCTTGGTCTACATGAGAAGCTGTTAAATGCCATAGTGCCCAAACTAGAAATGAGAAACTCCATTTATCTGCATTTACCTACTCTTACCTTGCATCCAACATTCCTGTTTGCTTCCCGGATTCCCCTCTTTCAGGCTATTGATAGTAAAAACCCAAACTCATCTGGAGTAGAGAGAGAAGATTTCAGATAAAGTGCCCAGCAGATACAGATGGGGGTCGAAGTGAGTACTGATGTGGGAAAGGCTGTACCCAATGCCAGTGGCTACTATGTTAATTTGTTGAGTTAAGGGCAGTAGGTCTCTTTCAGCCCAGGTTGTGCACTCAGCTCTCGAGTCACTCTGTTCAGCATACAAGCGTATTTGCCCTTAATGTTGTTGCTGCTTCCTTAAAAGTGTTCATGTTGATGACCAGTAAGTGTTCCCAGATGACCTCTCTGACTAGTTTGCAGTGTCTGCATCCTTCTGTTTTAGTTCCTTTTTTACCAATACAATCACTTGCTTCTTGCCTGTAAAACCAAGCTTTTACTTCTGGATGTGATTCTGTGTATGTTGTGTGTGTAGAAGTGTGTGTGTCTATATATAATAATATATATAGTGTGTATATATCTATAAGGGATTCTCAGCCTGCTCCAGACTGTTATGTGTTTCTTTACCTTCTCTTCTCCTGCCTTCTCTCTCTCTTCCTAATCTATCCTATCTTTAATCTTATCAATTGCCAGTTTTAGACTTAGTCGGTGTGTTTCACTAGATTCCTAGTTATGATGGTTGTGCTGCTCTGTCTCACTTCATCCTATGTTAAATTCCGTATTCTTACCATTGTTTAATTTTAGCAGCTTAATTTTGGGATCTCACCTGTTCCGAACCAGTCGTCACTCGAAATGCTGATCTGCTGCATGCTTGTGGACATAGAGAAATCCCTAATGTCCCACACTTTGAGCAGCTTGAGGGGTCTTCGTTTGTTTTGGGGTGCTTGTTATGACAAACATTTGGACTTCACAAATTTTGTCACCCACTGCTCCTTTGACCCCTCACCTAATACAGGTTGCCACCTCTCTGTTTGACTAATATAAAAGCAGTTTCTCCTGAAGCTCCTGCCATTGGGAGTGGCCTGACGTTTCCCTCTGCTAGCTTCCTTCCCACAGGTTGTCTAATGCTGACTCTTCTCTGAAACTGGTTTTGTCCTTTGTTTGTTCTTTCTACATATCTGTGATTTTATCTTTGTGATAGTATTAGTGTTACACTTGAGTATGGTTGATGTGAAAGATGAACTATTGTGCAGGTCTTGGCAGCATGTTTTAGATGCATCTTTATTTATGTTTGATTTATTTATATATATTTATATATATATATATGTAAATGCTTTACAAGTGGAAATTGTTACAGATTGTGCTGGAGAAGTAATGTCACTATGCCTTTAAGATAGGAGAATTGAGATTTAGAGAGGATGAGGAAAGCCAGAAGTGCCCAGCCTAAGGATAGTGTCAGTCAGAAACAGAAGCCCTAGTGTGTCTCAGGCATCACTCAAGAGTAAGCCCAGCCTGGGGATCTTGTGCATGTATGATTTACTCCATGATGATTAATGTTTGTTTCTTTTTTTGATAGCAAAATATGGTGGATCTGCTATGGGGTATTTGGACCACGTGCTGGTGATGGAGGAAGTTTCTCGTGCATCGGCGGCTGTTGGACTCAGTTACGGTGCCCACTCAAACCTCTGTATTAACCAGCTAGTGCGGAATGGCAATGAAGCACAAAAAGAGAAGTACTTACCCAAGGTATATGACTGGAAGAGAAGGTGAAATTAGAAAGATTTTTTTGGCACTGTGTGAGGAAACATGAGAAATGTGAGGAAAACGTAATGTGTTTTGCAGCACTGTGGTATTTAGGACGCTAAAAGTATGAGAGAGGTCGCTAGGCTTCAGCTTGTCATTGCTGATCTGGTCTGGCACTACCTCTTTTGTCTCACAGCAGCAGGTCTGTGTGCCCATCAGCTGCATATACTGAATTGGGCTGGGATTAAGCTTCTGCTGCTGTCATTTCCTTATGCTGGTTCAGTACTAGCCTCTTTCTCTTAATATTAGCAGGAAAGATCTTGTGGAGATCAGGTTCTTAGGTGCTGTTCAGGTGAGAAGAGTCAGTGTTATCACTCTATCACATGTTTCTCTTGTAGCATGAATTCTTTTATGAAAAGATTCTCAGAAAAAGAAGAGAGAATTCTGCTTTGTTTCAAGGAGGTAGCAGCAGAACAAGACCCTGGAAAAGTTTTCTAGCACTCAGCAAGCCAGCAGATTTGTATTTCTTTCCTGTACAGCTGCATGCAGGGATAAGTTTGTCTTTCATGGTGTGTAGCATTTTAAGGACCAGGGGGTTTCAGTGCTCCAACCTTTAGAAAGTATACTTTCTAGGTTTGCTCTTCCCAAGATTAATAGGACTTCTTTTGTCCTATTAATTCATATTTACATAGCTTTGTGTAGAATTCAGAACTTGTTTATTCATCACACTTTAGCCTTTTGGGGGTGTCAATGCTTATCCACTGGACCATGCTGCCTATAAGGCAGTAACAAAGTTATTCCAGGTGTAACCTGTGCCTGGCTGGGTGACCTTGGGGAAGCAGTCATTCTCTCTGTAGCTTAGTGTTACAAAATGGGGCTGTGAGTTGTTGCTGGATGATATTTTTCCAACCTCTCAAAGCATTTTGAGGTTTCTGGACAAAACTTGATGCATTAAAATTGTATATGTTCTGCGTTTTCCCTGTACAAATGCATGGTTTGCCTATGCTAATTAATTGTGAGCATCTGCATCATTCGGGGGCATTCATGTTTGTAACCCAAAAGTCTGTTAGAGATCTCAATATTTAGTCATGTAGAGAAACATAGCCAGTACATTGAATCCCAGCTATTAATTATTAGCATAACAGACTAAAATAAAACTGCATACAAAGTGCTCCTCTATTGCTTCCTCAAAGCGTTCTTGTGCAGTCTGGCAGTACATAACCCCAGATGTCGTAGTTGTTCCTTAGGTGTATTTTAATTCCCTCATTCACTGGCTTTCAATATGAGGCAACCATTTTAGATTTCTACTCGTCCTCATTCTTAAGAGAGTACTTAATTGTAAGCCAAAGACAAGTTTTACTGTCCTGTACAGTGTCACTAACTAGTTTTTGGCACGACACCAAGGCTTCTGTTAAAATCTACTGATGGATTGAATTGGTTGAACATATATGTTAAGTATTGAATCTATTTTTTAAAAAGGAGATATCAAAAGGAGGAGAAGATGGAAGAAAGTACACAGGAAAAAGAAAAGGCAAGGAGAAAAGGGCAGGATGAAAGGAACAGAGAAGAGGAAGCAACAACTATGCCAGAGCCTGGCATGAGCAGGCACAGAAGGAGGGTGTCCATCTGCTTTCCTAGCACGAGTGTGGGGGGACCAGCCTATGAGCACATCGCTAAGCACTTTGCAATCTCTTCTCATCCCCCTCATCGGCCTTTTGTGTTTAACCACCGCAGTTTATTTAAAAGGGCGGTCATAAAGCACAGAACAAGGAGTTTGGGAGAGGCATATGGCTGCCTGCATGGTTCTTTGGCACCTTCCTGGAGATAGATGAGTACAGCTCTGCTTTTAAAACACTAACTCAGACATGAGTTGAGTCACCCAGCTCATCCCACTGTGATTTGGTTCTGTTCCCGCAGCACAAAGGAGCTTGCTGCAAGGACTGTACTGGGAACAAGGTAGAGTCCTCACTTGCAGGTTAAGTAAACAGCTACTATTCAGTGCAGAAAAAGACAAGCTGAAGAGGGAACTGAAATGTAACAGTGCTATTTCTCCTCCCTTTCTTATGTTTGTCTTGTCTTCCAGCTAATCAGTGGGGAGCACATTGGAGCATTAGCAATGAGTGAGCCCAATGCTGGATCTGATGTTGTCTCCATGAAGCTGAAGGCAGATAAAAAAGGTAAAGCATGTCATAGGTTACCTGGATAGATCATGCCGGTGTTTCTCCTGGCCAGCATAAACAATGTCTCTTCTAAATTTTAATTAGCCTTACCAATACTCTGAATGGCATTCAATCTCAGGTACGCCCTAGCCGTGTTCCCAGGCTCCTGCTTGTGCTGCCTCCCAGAAAAGTCAGAATGTATGATAAAGTGAGATGGTGAAAACACAGGATGGATGGCTGGATGTCCAAAGTGGACAAATTGCTAGTCTCGCTTCTGGTTATGGAGGTGAAAGGTAGTGGTATGGTGGAACGGGTGCCAGGTGCCTTCGTTTGTCAGGCATTCATTAAACTTGATCTTTAGACCCCAGAAACAAAAGAAACAAGTTTTCTTGATTTTTTTGGGAAGGGCTTTGTGCATGCTCTTTGTAAAGTCTTGAGCATCCTTGGAAGCCTATTCTGAAATAACCTGGGTGAAGGGATAGGTGCTTTTCTGTTGTCCATTGTCAGCTAACAGATTGCATGCATCTCTATGCTTCTAGGGGACTATTTTGTTTTGAATGGGAGCAAATCTTGGATCACCAATGGGCCAGATGCAGATGTTCTCATTGTTTATGCTAAAACTGACCCTAATGCTGTTCCAGCCTCCCGAGGTATAACTGCATTCATTGTGGAGAAGGTAAGTTTAAGTTACTATATGATAAGCCTCTCGGTTTTATTTTAGTCTGTTTTGAAGCTGCCGTCCTTTACCCTAACTGATTTAGAAATCAACTAGTTTTCTCTGGATTAAACTGTCAGCCCCTTGCTCAAAGACAAACTGCCTCCTGCCTGAATTTTACAAACTCATGAGATTAGTCCCTTGCCCCAATGATACGTCATATTGCAGTATGAGCTGGGAGCTTTTTGATTTTTGCATCTAAGCACATAACTCATCTTTTGATCTAGAAGTGTAGAGAAATTAGACAAAAGCCTGATATGAAAAGGCTTGCATGTTTCCAAAAATTGTCAGGGGTACTTGAGACCTTGTAGATCTGCCATACTATTCAGTTATCTATCTTGCATTTTTAATGTTGAGGCATTAAAATAACTCTAATTTGTTGGCCTTTCTTGCAGTGTTCCTTCAGAAGCATGCACACAAAGTAAAGCATGCCGAAGGGAGCAGAATCGGGCCTTCGTACAGGGAGCTCTTGGGTTTTTTTTTTTCTTTTCCTCCTCTCCTTCTAGTTAATTGGTAACAGAGCTGTGCATAGTATATTGCCACAAGGAGGAAAGAACAAGGCCTTTCATAAAGGCAGGAAGCTATGATAAAAGAAATGGTACTGGAAATGTAAACATCTTAGTTCAGTGAAAATCTTCTGATGGACTTACCCATCTTAGCAGCTAGAGTAGTTCTGTCACTGGCCAAAGTTTGTAATCCTTACTCTAGAGCAGTGCCAGTGTTGGCAGCTGGCCAGATAATTATTTATTCAATGTTTATGTGCATTAGAGAATAGATTCACTCACCCAGTTAGCATGGCAGGTGAGCATGTTTCTCTGCTCATTTGCTTTCTTTGCACTTGCGCTTCCACCTGTGTTATTCCAGGAGCAGGGAGTTCACTTTGACTCCCTTCTGGTACACCATGTGTGTTCATGTGGTCAGGGAAATTTTATAAGTCTGTAATGATTTTATTTAGCCTTTCAGAATTGAGGGGTTTGAAATCTGTTTTTCCTATTTTGGCTTTGCAGGGAATGCCAGGTTTCAGCTCAGCCCAGAAGCTCGATAAGCTGGGAATGAGAGGGTCTAATACCTGTGAACTGATCTTTGAAGACTGCAAGATCCCTGGTGAGTTGGGTTCAAACCATGGCTGTATATGTGTGGTGGTTCCCTGTCATCTTAGTCAGACAAACTGGATCACCAAGTACATGTGTGTTCAGACCGACCTAGAGGGCTTTCTAGGTAGCTGTCCACTCTTTGGCAACCTTACAGGAGAGCTAGTAAAATCAGAAAAGTGCTATACTGTCTGGTAGATTCTACTGAATGAGCATATCCCTTGTTAGATCACTCCAGTTTCAACCTCGGGGACGTTGTTGCCTTTAGAGCTCCCCATCTAGTATACAGAAGAGCTTATTAGCCCTGAAGTTTCTTTTCTCCAAAATCACTGGAGACTACCTGACAAGTTTTTGGTTTGTCTATAACACTTCTGAATCCTCCTGGGATTAGGGCCTGAAAAAGGACATTACTTCCCCTTTAGTTAGAACAGCAGCATGGTGGATGTGCCTTATTAGGGCAACTCTAACGGCTATTTTTGTTACTCTAATGGCTTTTTTTGTTGATTAGAAGAAAATTCAAAGCCACTGTATAGCAAATGGGGAGGTGATCCCTTATCTGAATTCCTGAAAATTACAAATCTGCAGAACAAATAACTCCTTTGTTTCCTATACACCAACAAAAGCTGCTTTGCAGTACACAGGAGAGTTTCAGCTGAAATTTGACATTTTTAACTTTACTGGATCCCTTCACTGTGAAAGCAGAAAAGCTGGTGCCCAAGTCTTCCAATCATCTCCTGAGTAATTATGCGTACAGAACAGCATGTTCGTGTGGTAACAGGATTTCCATTTTGTGATAACTCGGAGAAGCACATCATTGAAGTGTTGAAAGTTAGCATGCTTTGCACTCTAGCCATTAATACAGCTTCTGATCTTCTGCCTTGGAAGCTGAAACAGTCTGATGCCTTTTCATATGTCTGCAGGATTTTTCTCTTATCAAAATATCCTTTAGTTCTACAATTCTATCCACTTTAAAATGTGGGTTTCACTGTGCTCCACTGTCTGGTGTTTTTCTCATAGTGTCTTCTGTAGTTTCACTCAGTCATATTGCATTGGTAAAAGCTGGTTCAGAGCCCTGACAGTTTCATGCTGTGAGACTGCCCCTCTTGTGCAGTCAGAATACATATCCCTCAGCCCACTGCATACTTACCCGTCCCCCTTCCCTGGATGTACAGGAAAACATTCAAGCTGCTCAGTCTTTTTTTAGCTATGAGGTGCCATCACTCATGAGCAGCTTCATGTAGCTATTTTATTATTACTGATGGTGGTGTTTCTGTTCTGCTCTTTAAAGTAGCATTTGCAATCAGTATTTTTCTTTTTCATCTATAGAGGTCCTAAGCTTTTTCTCAGAAAGCCAAGTTTCATTCTTCCTTTTCCTAGCTCCCATAACATGATGATGGTCCTGCAGAGCTGCTCTTCTCTGTACAACCCATCAACATACTCATCAATAAGCAGGAGATATTGCAGTCCTTGAGCTTCTGCCACTGAAAAATGGATTGTTTGCTTCAGGAGAATATCTGCCTGTGGTCCGCAAGTCCTGTCTCATTTTAAGTTTGCGTATCACATTTTTCAGATCTCCTGTGATCAAAGCCTGAGCTATATGTCAGTTCTATATGGCACGATCTGTGGATTATCTCTGTCCATCTACCACACACAGTTGTTAGGCTTCAAGTTCCCCCCGACTGTAAGGGGACAGCTTTACTGAGGAAATGAGTCTTTTTATTCCCCTCTCTCCATCTGTGCTTGTGAACATCAGCACGTGCTTTAGATAACATGGATTTCTGAGTTTCTTCTTCTCAGCTCGTTATCTAATGTGGCTGTTTGTACTGTTTCTGTGAAAATGGAACAGGAAAAATACATGTTTTAAAGGACAAGTAACAACAGCAATGTTCTGCTCAGCCCCTTTCACAGAAAGGGGAATAATGGCTGTTCGTATTTTTTTCCATCTCAGAAGGCCAATGTCTATCACCCTGACCTGTGAGAGGTGGTGAGTTTTGGCTGGTTGACTGAGTAACCTTTGGTTTCTATATTAGGAATGCCCAGAAAGGTGACTGAAGTATATCAGAATAGGATTCATTCATTTTAAATACATGATAAGTAGGCATCCTATGGTAACAACTTTTGGTCACTGTCAGTTTGAGTTAGGTAGAAACTAACAGGTTGGAGAAGAGGACTCTCACTTTGTTCTCTCAAGCATTAAGTTTCCTGTTCTTGTTGGTACAAACGTTAAGCCTGGAGGACCTCTGGAGAGTGCCTTGCTCTTTAGAAAGCAGGCAATAGAATAGCAGTGATGGTGAATGCACTTTTTAACCCTTTACTGCCCCTTTTTTTTGGCTTTGCTTGGATTTAAAAGATATTTCAGTAGGAGGAGGAATATGTAGCACAACTCAGAGCCTATCTAGCTCATCCTGAATGCTTGTCTCGAGCCAGAAAGGAAGGCGAAAGTGACTGAGAGTTTGAATCCTCTCCCCAGAGAACACAGGCTGTCAGACAGCCACTTATCTTCTCAGTTTTGCACATAGGTAAGTTTCCTTCCTTTGCTGATTGCAGACCAAAATATCTTGGGGCAGATAAGCAAAGGAGTCTATGTTCTGATGAGCGGCTTGGACCTGGAGAGACTTGTGCTGTCTGGTGGGCCACTAGGGTAAGAGTTATTTCATCTTTCATAGATTTTTTTTTTTAAAAGTCCAGAAGAGTCTTCCATGATCACCTGGTGCGGAGGGTCTCAAACTGGGGTTTTACCTCTCAGAAGGATGTTTTGGATGGAGAACTGAGTTGCTGGGCAGCCATGGAGAACAAAGTACAGCTGGGAAGAAGTGACTGGGTTAGAGTTGTGCGAAGGATGCAGGTAGCAGAGGAGGCAGGAGCAGGGAGATCCTGTGGCCACTGAGAATTATTCAGCTGTCATAGCTGCTCCCTGCTGTAAAAGCCTCCTGCCTGAGGGCCCTAGTGAGAGGCAGTCACTCAGTTGGCACCCCCTGGCAACCATGGCGCACTCTGCTTTTGGTCTGCATATGTTTCACCTTTTCCTTTAGCTCTCCTTGCCTCTCCCTCACTCATGTTGTTTTTCTCAGCTTGAGAACATCTATAAGGAACCAATGCGAAGTGACAAGGGGTGGAAGACACAGTGCCAAAAGGAAAACTTGAAAATTCCTGCCCTCCAGTGTAGCATAGGCTACTCTGTTCCCTGGACTGACCCTCCAGAGCATGCTTTTGAAAAAATTAGTTTTGATTTAAACGTTTCTAGGGATGCCAAATCCAGCCCAGCCCTGGATAGCTTTTACTTTGCTTGGAATAACCAACTCCTTGTTTGTGACGCAGTTTCTTTAAAGTCTAAAACATTATCCAGGTTCTCACATAGAAGGACCACTGGGTTGAGTAAAGGATTTGTTCTTCATTTACTCAGTTTCTCCATATAAGGGTTAGTACAGAGAGACCACTTGGGAAGACAAAGGGACTGTCAGGTAAAAAGAATTACTAGGGAGCTTAAGGACTATCTTCTGTAAAGCAGGAGGAGGATTTTTCCCTATTCTCATTCTCATCTGCACTTTTTTTATAGTATTAGCTAGTATTCCTTGAGTTGGTCTTCTCTGGAGATGCAAGGCAGCACAGACTGTCCTAGCTACAGTTGTAAGAGTTCTTCAACCCTCCATCTCAGTCCCCTGAATTAAGAAGGTAAGACCTTACTACAAGATGTGTCCCAAATGAGCAGTGTGTAGAGCACAAGGGAGAAAACTGGGAGCTCTGGATTTTATTTTTAGCATTGTTTGAGTGTAGCTGTAGGAAGGCAGTAGCATCTCTCTCTAGGTGCCTGAGAACCTTTTTGTCCTAGATTGAGCTTCCAAGACTTAATTATTGCTTGTCTATTAATTACTCTGTTTTCTTCCTTTTCCCTTCTTGCGTATCTGTATTTTCTCTAGGCTCATGCAAGCTGTTCTTGATCATGCAATTCCATACCTACATGTAAGAGAAGCATTTGGACAGAAAATTGGCCACTTCCAGGTGAGACAGGAAAGTGACTACAAATAACTTTTGTCTTGCCTTTTTTTTTTTAAAAAAAAAAAAAAAAAGCCCTTGAAGACAAGTTGCTCTGCAATGGGGACCTGGGGCTTTACATGGAGAAAGATGTCTGAAGCTTCTGCTGAGGCTGCATGATGTAATGATGTGGTGAGAAGGTGAAAGCATCTTTGCCAACCTGTTAATATCTCGGGCCACTATTACTGGCTGAAGGACTGGGAATGGCATGTTTCCACTGGCCTTGATATCTGGGAGTTCATGAATCAACAGATCCTTTGGCTTCCGTACTGCATCCACCTCTTCCAGTTGTCCAGTTTCTCCTAAATAGCCCGGGGAATGCTCTGTAAGAACCATTCTGATCCCCAGTGCTCATGCAGAAAATACTCTTTCTATCGCTCTCTGTGATCTCACTTTGTTTTAATACCTGTAAAATGTCTTTTATCTTCTGCTGCAACATGTAGCTCATGCAGGGCAAGATGGCTGATATGTACACCCGGTTGATGGCATGTCGGCAGTATGTCTACAACGTGGCAAAGGCCTGTGACCAAGGTCATTTCAATGCAAAGGTGAGCTTGCTTCCATGTGAACTGTGTATGCCAGGGGAGTTCCTTTCACTTTGGTCCCAAACTGTGAGTGGGGTGGAGGTTCTGTACTGTGGGTTTCAGCTCACAGCTCTCCAAGTACTTCCCCCCCACCCCAAAGGAAAAGAAAGCCTAGTTCCACAAGGCAGCAAATTTAGCGGCATTGGTAGGTGTTCATTGGAAGTCCAAACACAGTATCTTGGCTGTTGTAAGGAGTTACAGCAGTCATTCCAAGGTGGTGTCATCTCAGCAAGTGACGCTGTCACCACAAGTCAGTCAGAGGAGGGGACCAAGTATTTAACAGTTGGAGAACAGAGCCCGGCATCCCATATCAAATCACACTGCTATCCTATGGGCAGGACATGCATTTGTGGGAGACCCGCTCCCCTGCTGCGTTCTTTTGTTCTGTCCTCATGTGGCCTTTATGGACCTGATGCAAGTGTTCTGCAGTGACAGAAAGACTGCTGTGTTTTTTTTCCCATGCTGGGGAAGGAATCCTGTGCCTTCTGTGCTGAAGTAGTTCAGGGTTGTTAGCAGGTGTTTGTAGAGTAATGGAAAGGTCAGAGCAACACAGATTGGAGAAGGATAGGTGACACCTTTCCTGACTGTCAGTGACTTTTGTCTCTCCATTAGGACTGTGCCGGGGTGATCCTCTATTCAGCAGAGTGTGCTACCCAGGTGGCTCTGGATGGTATTCAGTGCCTTGGTAAGGTGCAGTCACTGACAGTGTTTGCTGCTTTGAGGAAGAGGCTGATTGCTGCAGAGAGCAAAAACAGCGCAAAAGCAGTGCTTCTCCCACCCTTAGTCCCTGAAATCAGATGTGACTTGTGACTCTTTTTGATTGTAGGTGGGAATGGATACATCAATGACTACCCGATGGGGCGTTTCCTGCGTGATGCCAAGCTCTATGAGATTGGGGCAGGCACCAGTGAAGTGCGCAGACTTATCATTGGCCGGGCATTTAATGCTGCTTTTAAGTAATAACCACTGGTGGAGGGACAGCACCCTGACTGCCAAGAGGCCTTTGACTATTGAGCTGGGGCGCACAATTTTTTCTTCCTGCTTGTGATTCTAGGATTGTCACTTGTGGACTCTTTCCTGTCTAGTCTGTGAACAGATGCAGCTGGGCTTTGCTGACAGAATGAATCAGACGGTAGGACAGAAGGAAAAGTGTGGGTTTCTTTTTTTTCCTCTTATGATCAGCCTGATTCATCCTGTTCATAAGCCATCCAGATTCTCAGTGCTACAGAGCTGAGGTTCATCCAGGGGACATCACCATCAGAGCAGGCTGTTGGTGTGCTTGGAACAGGAGGCAGCCATTGCTGAGTACAGAAAGTCAATCCAGAAGAACAGGCTAGGGAATAACTTTTCTCTCTTTAAAAACGGAGTGCCATTTAATAGCTAGCATCTAGCACGCTACTGCTGGACGGAGGGATTTCCCATTGTGACATTCCAATGGGATTAATAGCTTCCATTTTGGGAAAACTTGATGCCGACTGAATCGTGGCGGTAGCTATCATGAACATCAAAGCAGTGTTTCAGGCCGTGATTCCTCAAGCCTAATTAAAACACCACATATATTTCTTTGTACGCTTCCTTTCCTATCCCGACTACTTCTCAAGATATTTTGGTGCAGCCTGAAGTCTCTGCTCCTCTGACTGACTGCATCCTGCTGTGTTATCCATTCAGAGGTGTCACCATCCATCATTCTGGGAACAGTTAAAATGTCAGACCTGTATTGTGATATCCATGAATGAGTCAGGCAGAAGGAGGTTGACTTTTGGGTTGGGATTTTTTTAAGCTTTTTCTTTTGGTAAAAGCATGTGCTTACACTACATGTTTGCTTGACTAGAGGAAGTTAAAGTGAATGCAACAGTACTTGTGGATGCTTCCAGGGAGTATTAAACGCATCAAATTAAGGTGCCTTATTAAGGAAAACTGCAGTGTATGCTACGGCCTCAGAGTGAATCATGAAGGAAAATGGGCTGTTGTAACCATGACAGAGGAATGAATTAAGCAATTACTGTATGGGCAACCTCCCAGTAGTTTTAATATAGAGAAGCTTAAAGCTTTGTGTGTTGCTTTTGATTGTAGTTGACATCTGTCTGTCCTAGGTGATAGAAATTAATACTGAATTTTATAATGCCACAGGCTGAAGAGTCCAGCCCTAAGAAAAATTCACCTTTCTGTATTGCCAGCTGGGTCACCAGGTATTTATATGAAGGGCCAATAAAACGTCAGTTCTTCTAGAGCTAGAAACAGCCTCTAAAATCATGATGGCATACTTTCTTCCTAAACTTCATGTATATTCAGCTACATTCAGCTGCATACATACAGCAATCATTCTGCAGTTGTCCCACGGATTAATTTTCAGGGTTGCGTAAATGTGAATCTCTGCGTAAAACTAGTGGAGATGAACATCAGGACAGGGTGGATGTAAGTGGCTTTGCCTGTTAAGTGTACCCCCTTGAGCTGTTCCTGAAAACATTTTGAAAATGGGCCTTGAAGCACAAGTGAGGTGCATATAAAACTGCTGCTGTTGCTGCACCCCATCTGATGTCCCACAGGAGCTTTAGGGCAGGAGCTCTGGAGTTGTCCAAGTGATTTGGAGAGCAGATTCCCACTGTGATGAGCAATGCAGCCCTAAAATGCTGAGCCTTAGTCCTGTAGCCTGCACCTGCATGGTGAGGAGGCTGCTCTCTGCTTGTTCTGCAGTTGTGGGCCTTCTGTCATCCAGGCAAGACAATCTTCTGCTGCGCTCCAGTATGCCCTCCCTGTCTCTGCACCCACATTGCCTTCCAGGTCTGAGGTCTGGCCTCATTTTTTGCAGTCGCAGGCAAGCAGTGGCCAGGGCACGTACGCAGCGACCAGTGCCGCGGGGTATGTAGCAGAGTTTCTCCGCCCTGCGGAGCAGATGCAGCCTCTGTGTCTCACTGAAACAGCAGATCTCCAGCTGAGAGGTGGTGGAATCACAGCGTCTTTAGCACATGTTGGAAATGCATATTTTACCTGTATGTTTTTAGCTCTTTGACAGGGGAGTGAATCACTATAATTTTGCTTGAAGATGCTCAAAAGAGCATTGGCTCTGAATCAATATGTTGTGATCTGTCTCTGGCCAGAGGAGCTTCCCTGAAATACATATGTGAACAACCTCAGGATCTTGTAAGAGACTCAGTGTTTAAAAACACATATTCCAAGTTGGAAAGGACTGCAACTTATTCAGCCTGCCCTGTGAATGCTGGAGTGGCTTTTTTTTTTTTTAATACAAATAATAAACAGTGCCTCACTTTCTAGGCTAATCAGCAGCTCAAAGTTAAAGGTAAAATGAATCAACGTCTAACCCACTGTGGGGTGGGGTGGAGGGAGAGGTTCATCAATCTTAAGGGTTATGTTAATCAAATTTCAGGCACCTCCACAGCAGCACTGTGTGGATGTTGAACGGGCTGCCTTGGGAAAGGGCTGTCTTTCCTTGCACCAAGCAGTTCTCACTGTGGTATTTAAAAAAAAAAAAAAAAAAAGTCTCCTGGCGTGGTGGGGAAGGCTTGTGAGGGGAGAAGGAGTTTAATATCTATGCAGTGCTAATAAAGAAATGTGCTTCTGCTGAGTGACCTGTGTTCTTGTGGGGTGTTTCCCAGCAGAGGGCAGGGACCTAATCTGGTACCTGTTACTGCTGGTCCCTCATCTGGAGGGAAGGGGGCCACTATTGCCTTCTCTTCCCTACCAACCACAGCTTTTTTTCCCTTGCTTTAATTGTTTTAAAATATATACGTAGTGGTATATCTGGTAAGTGCCTCAGGCCTCCTCTGGAGAGCAGCAGAGCTAATAGGAAAAATGTACAAGGGCACTGTGCCTCTAGACACAATCTTAATGGTATCTGTTGCTCTGAATTTATAATGGAAATTGTCCCAGTGTGATAAGCCTTTGGCTGATTGCAGAGTGGGGTTAGATATGCTGCACCTTTCTTAGTTTTGAAGATACTTTCCAGTTTGCAGCGAGCCCGCTACTGAGTGGCTAGGTCAGAGAGAGAAAGAAGCTTGGAGAGTGGAGAAAGTTGGTCACTAAAATAAACAAAGTTTATTTTAACAGCATATATTGAGAATGTGGTGATTTTGAATGGGAGTATTTCATAAGCAAGCTCCTTAAAGGTTTTTAGAAATCTATGCCTGCTTCCTGTCCTAGGAAGGATAGGACTGAGAACTTATCAACTGTACCTGCAAGGCAAAAGAGTTTTGATGTACTGCCGTAATTGTTTTGTATGTGCAAAGAATCCCTCCCACAGCAGCTGGGTAGGTTTCACAGCTTAGCAGTTTATTGATTTCTTGAGGGAAGAAAAACCACACTCTGGCTTGCTGAAGCTGTTTGTGCCTAGGGAATCCAGCTCAGGTGATTTATTTCTTGTGGTGTGTGATCAGAGCTGCTCTGCACCTCGTTCCCAAAGGTTGAAAACCTGATGAAAGAACAGTTCAAGCAGAATGTCCTGATGGTAGCAAAGCTCTGGCTTGGTTTGATCTTTTATGGGTGAATTTTGCAGTTGAAGGCGTTGTGCTGAGCTACATTTGCCCTTGGCTAATTGGGACCTGAGGATGTGCTAATCTGAGGATCTCAGTTGGCTTCAGCTCTTGCAGCGGGGCTCAGAGTGCAACACCAAGGCTTTTGGAGCAAAGAGCAGGTTCTTGAACTGAGGGGCATGGAGGAAGTCTGGGTTATGCCCTCCTGCTGGCTTTTTCTGCCACAGCTCTGCTCTGTTTTAGCTCTTCAGCTGCACAGCTGAGTTATGATAAATAGTGACAGCATTCCCAAGAGGGAACTTTTGTTCTGCCTGTCCTTAACCGATGCTGCTTTGCTCTGGGAGTCCTTTCTGGAGTGGTGTGCAGGAAGCACAAGCTAGTCCCGTAAGAGCTATGCTTCGGCAGAGCTAGGGCTTGGCCAGAACACCATACAGATGCATTTGATGCTGCAACTCTTGTTGGAAGAAAAGTGGAAGAACATGAACAAATCTTTCTCTCTACTATTGGGATGAGAGATGTAGCAGATGAGATGGGCTGTTACGTCTTCTGTATCCTAGCCTCATGCTTTTCAGGACGGATGAGACCGTGGCTCCTCCAAGGCATGTCCCAAGCCAGACTTTTAAACAGAGGCCCCTACAGCGCAGGGGTAATGTTTGCTTTACAAACCTAACAAGGGCATTTATTTTAAAGCAAGTCTGCTACCGTTGAGGGGCTTAGTTGCACTATGACCAGCTGTGATTTATATCTAAGGTGACGTTTGCAAATGGGGCTGCAGCTACCGCTGTGGGTTTGAACAGTGGTTAAAAGGGGTCCTATGCAGTTTGGCAAGGTTGAACTATACTGAGCAGATGCAGGAGCAGTGTCCCAGGCAGGGCAGTAGCTGTTGCTGCTTCGCCTGCAGGGCCTGCCCATGGGATTTCTAGTCTGCTGCTTTTGCTGTACGACCACCTGCTTGCTCCTAGTGGCTCCCTCCAGAGCCCAGCTCTGCCCAGCTCCCTAAGGACCCCTCCTCTTTCTGCTGCTGTCCCCCCTGCGTGCCCCAAGGGAGGGAGTTTCATGGCAGTGGGGAGCGGGTGTGTGCCTGCACTCATGTGTGCGCCAGAGGATGCGGTTTCCAGCCAGCAAGGCTGGTCCACAAGGGGAAGGGAGGCTTGCGGTAACGTGGTGGGGAGGACAGTATCTCTCTCCTGCATTGGGCTTTGCTGCGCAATTTCAGCATGAGGTGACACATAACGAAAGTGTCGTTGATTCTCATTTTCACTGTATGGAGGTTGCACGGTGAAGGTTTATTTAGGCCAAATGCTGTGCGATTCTCAAGCATCGTGCTGATGGGTGCGCCTTGCTCCGGCTCTGCTCACAAGCATCTCTCCTGAGCACCTCCCTCATGCAGACCTGCCCAAAACGGTATTTAAAAAAAAAAAAAGAAAAAGTGATGTTTATCTGTAAGCTCTGGGCTTTCACTTGCCTTATGGCATTTTATTGGTGCCTCTGGCAGAGCCAGCTGTGGGTCAAACAGTGGTGACAGAGCAGGAAGCTGCTGCTGCATCACCTTCGTATTTTTTGTGCCTGTGGATGAGCTGCTGTAATGGTCGTGCCCTTGCCACCCCTGCCGCAGGCATCTCTTACCTCCCGCCTGGGCTGGAAGCACAGATACAAAAGCCGCCACCAAGGCAGAAGGCGGCCGCAGCCCCGCAGAGCTGTGCTGGGCCGCGTTCCCGCCAGCCGCTCGCAGTGACAGCGCCTGCTTTTTCCGGGCAGGAAGCTGGGGCCAGAGCTTGCTTTTAGATTTGAAAGAATTTGCAACTGCAACTGGGGAGACAAAAACCTTCTTGAGCCAAGCGGACGATATTGCGGGAGGGAGGCACAGGGCCAGGGGGGAGCAGGGATTACCGCAGCGGAGCCTGGCGTTGCATCGCTTGCACCTGCTGCTTGCTGAAAGGCTGATGCTGAGCAACAAGCAGCTGATGCTGAGGCTCAGTTGTCAGCATGAATGAAATAAAAAAAAAAATTAAAAAATAATAAAAGCCTCAGATCGGTGCCCTGGCCAACAGCAACGGCAGGCTGGCTGGAGGCGGAACGAGTGGGGAGCATGGCCCAGTCGGACCCTCCATCCGCACCAGCCTGGCAGCGGGGAGAGGAGGCAGCTTCCCTTGGGCCCGTGGCGCAGGAACGGGGTCTGCGTGGTGTGGTAGCCTGGGACGTTTAGGAAAGGGGCCGCCTGGGCCCTGGGAAGCGGCATGGTTCAACTCGGGGCCCAGGGGCAAGGGTGGCCTTTCAAAGGGAGCCAGGAGAAATGGGCTCTACCCAAGCCCTCGGCAGCCGGGTCACTTATAGCATCCGTCGCCTGCTCCAGCAGGGATGGCGAGGGGGACGTGTGCCCCGCGGCGTCAGGACCAACGCACGGCGCTTGCCGCGCTCAGCCCTCCCTGCTACGGGGGTCACCCTGAGAGGCTGCGCGCTGGGACCTCGCCACCCCTTGCTCTCTGCTCCCTCGTGGAGGAAGATGACGGAGGGGAAAAACGCAGTACTTCTCTGGGCCGTTTCAGCGAGCCGAAGGGCCCTGTGCTTAACGCGGCCACCTAACGCCGCGTGGCTCGACTTGCAGCTGTCTTCCTTTGGCCGAGGGGGGAGTGTGGCCACCTTCCTGCAGCTGCTCTCTCCGCAAAGGGCTGGAATAATTCGCATGCCCTGGGCACTTGCAGGCAGCTCTCGATGCCTCCAGCGGGCTGAGGCTGGAGGGTTTCTGGCTGAGTCTGTGCTCTTCCTGCCAGTGCTGCAGAAGCAGCCTTCTCGCGGCTCCCTCGAGCCCTGCTTGCAGCCAAGGTGCTCGCAGGCTGTGCGCACTACTCTGGGGTTAGTTTTTTCCCCCTGAGCCACAGTCAGGAATGGAAAAGGGAAAGCAAGGCAGCTGGCGTGGGATGGGCAGCATGGAGAAGCCCTCTTCGGCCCCAAGGAGAGCCTGGGCATCCTGCCTTTTTGCTGAGCATCCTGATGCCACCACTAGCAGGGACCAAAACACACCGGACTTGACTTTTCCAGCGTGGCTTTGTGGCGAGCTGCTTGATGCACCCAGCAGGAGCCGGCAGGAGTTTGTGAAATTGGAGGCGGCCTTGAGGACCCATAAGAAATACAACGGGCAGGGCCAGATCCTGCCTCACCCGGCAGTGTCTGGACACCACCGTAGCAGAACGAGACACTGCTGAGCGCTGCCGCTTCTGCGTCGCAGGGCAGCTCACCGGCCTCCCGCATCCTCTAGCTCGAAAAAATGCTTTGTGATGCCCGGTAGCAATGGGGAGAAGGAGCGGGGGCGAGGGCCAGGTCTGCGTGTGTAAAAAAGATAAATGATTGCGTTGGCCAATCTGGGGTTGTTTATTAATGCTGAGCAGAGACAGGGCTAATGGAAGCGCCTTCCAAGCTCAACTGTTGGCAAATCCTGCTGCAGGACCTGGGAGAGATCAGCTGCGTTTCAGGAAGTCCCGGAGCCTGTTAACAGTGGGAGTTTGCAAGCATCGCCCTGGGAAGCAGCGTTACGCGGTGCCCTGGCCTCGTGCACATCCACCATTGGGAAGGGGACACCAGCGCCGAGGGACCTTTTGCTCGGACCTCATACAGCCACTCTTCTGCTCTTAAGTTCTTCCCACATCAGGACTTTTGGGGATTTTGTTTTGTTTTGTTTTGTTTTTACTTTTATAAGGGGAGAGGCTTGAGAGGCAACTTCTGGCCTCACTGTGAAGCTGGAGCCCGTTTTCCACAGGGAAAAGGACGTAATGGTATTCAGCGAAAGGCTCCCAGGCTGAACGTACGTAACGGCTTGCTCTGCATGGGGAGTGGGGGATTTGTATCTCACGCCGCCATGGGGCTTTCGTCTCGGAAATTTCATTTCAGACCTGCTGCATGAGACTGGTGTTGCAAGAACAGATGGGGGGTCGTCTTTCCCGCGTTTTTACAGTGGTCTACCAGCACAAAGTAGGCGAGGGGTCCGGGAATGGGAGACGCGGGCCAGGCCCTCTGCACCCCTGTCCCAAACCCGGGCCAGAGGCCTCCTCGTGCAGCCCTGGAAGGCAAACAGCACTCCTGGGAGGTCTTCAGGCTGGAAA